CCTCAACCTCCTGAGTAGCTGGGACTACAAGCGCCCGCCACCATGCCCAGCTAATTTTTTATATTTTCAGTAGAGACGGGGTTTCACCGTGTTAGCTAGGATGGTTTCGATCTCCTGACCTTGTGATCCGCCCGCCTCGGCCTCCCAAAGTGCTGGGATTACAGGCGTCAGTCACCATGCCAGGCCTTTTGGGCCAGCCTATGTTTTTGTGGGGGATTTTAAACAAGTTATCAATGAACAGCTTCATAAATTGTTGGATACCTCTCCTATTATTATTATTTAAACACACCACTGCACTCGGACCAACCTATTTTTTGTGCGGAGTTTTAAACAAGTTATCAATGAACAGCTTCATAAATTGTTGGACACCTTTCCTATTATTATTATTATCTATTTTTCTTTGAGATGGAGACTTGCTCTGTCACCCAGGCTGGAGTGCAGCGGCGTGATCTCGACTCACTGCAACCTCTGCTGCCTGGGTTCAAGCGATTTGATTCACCTTCCTCAGCCTCCCAAGTAGCTGGGATTACAGGCGCCCACCACCACGCCTGGTTAATTTTTGTAGTTTAATTTATTTTTATGTTGTTTTTTATTTATGTTTGTTTGTTTTTTGAAACAGAGTCTTGCTCTTGTTGCCCAGGCTGGAGGGCAATGGCTTGATCTCGGCTCACTGCAACCTCCACCTCCAGGGTTCAAGTGATTCTCCTGCCTCAGCCTACCGAGCAGCTGGGATGACAGGTGCCCACCACCACACCTGGCTAATTTTTTGTATTTTTAGTAGAGACGGGGTTTCACCATGTTGGCCAAGCTGGTCTTGAACTCCTGACCTAAGGTGATGCACCAGGCTCAGCCTCCCAAAGTGCTGGTATTACAGGCGTGAGCCCCCGCCCGTGCCCTAATTTTTGTAGTTTTAGTAGAGATAGGGTTTCACCATCTTGGTCAGGCTGGTCTCCAACTCCCGACCTCGTGATCCACCTGCCTTGGCCTCCCAAAGTGCTGGGATCACAGGCGTGAGCCACCGCTCCTGGCCTCCTATTATTTTATTAAAATAAATTCTAAGACATAAAATAACTGCTTAAAGGGTATCTTAAAGGCTTTTACATTTTTATGAAAGCCAAACTATCTTCCAGAAAGGCTTGCACATATCAAGAGTTTCATTCTTGATATGGTTAATGCAAATAAATGCCTATTCCTTATATCCTTTTTCTTTTCTTTTTTTTTTTTTGAGTCAGTGTTTCACTCCTGTTGCCCAGGCTAGAGTGCAGCAGCCCAGTCTCAGCTCACTGCAACCTTCACCTCCTGGGTTCAAGCGATTCTCCTGCCTCAACCTCCGGAGTAGCTGGGATTACAGGCACCCGCCACCACGCCTGGCTAATTTTGTATTTTCAGTAGAGATGGGGTTTCACCATGCTGGTCAGGCTGGTCTCGAACTTCTGACCTCAAATGATTCACTCACCTCAGCCTCCCCAAAGTGTTAGGATTACAGGTGTGAGCCACTACACCCGGCCGATTCCTTATATCCTCATCTAGGTTTTTTGTCTTTTAAAATCTTTGTCAGTCTGCTATGTGAAACTGGTAAATCACTGTTAATTTTATTTTCAGTTTTTCCGATTTCTAGTGAGGTGGGACATTTTTTCATATAATTATTAAATCCCCCCATATGTTATGTATGTATACACACACACACGACTAGCTTGTTCATGCCCTCGACTTTTATTTATTTATTTATTTATTTATTTTATTTGAGACAGAGGCTTGCTCTGCTGCCCAGGCTGGAGTGCAGTGACATGATCTCGGCTCACTGCAACCTTCCCCTTCGCTTCTCAGGTTCAAGCACTTCTCCTGCCTCAGCCTCCCAAGTATCTGGGATTACAGGCACCCACCTCCATGCCCAGCTAATTTTTTGTATTTCTTTTTTTTTCCTCTGTCACCCAGGCTGGAGTGCAATTCCAGGTTGGAGTGCAATGGCGTGATTTCAGCTCACTGCAACCTCCATCTTCTGGGTTCAAGTGATTCTCCTGTGTCAGCCTCCCAAGTAGCTAGGATTATAGGCGCTCACCACCAAGCCTGGTGAATTTTGTATTTTTAGTAGAGACAGGGTTTCGCCAATGTTATGCAGGCTGGTCTCGAACTCCTGACCTCAGGTGATCCATCTGCCTAGGCCTCTCAAAGTGCTGGGATTACAGGCATGAGACACCGCATCTGACCTAATTTTCTGTATTTTTAGTAGAGCCGGGGTTTCACCATGTTGGCCAGGTTGGTCTCAAACTCCTGACCTCAAGTGATCCGCCCGCCTCAGTCTCCCAAAGTGCTGGGATTACAGGCGTACACCACCAAGCCCAGCTATTTTTTGTATTTTTAGTAGCGATGGGGTTTCACCATGTTGGTCAAGCTGGTTTTGAACTCCTCACTTCAGGTGATGTGCCCGCCTCGGCCTCCCAAAGTGCTGGGACTAGAGGCCTGAGCCAGAGCCACCCGCCCCCGGCCTTATTTATTTGAAATGGAGTTTCTGTTGCCCAGGCTGGAGTGCAGTGGCGCGATCTCGGCTCACCGCAAGGTCCGCCTCCCGGGTTCACGCCTTTCTCCCGCCTCAGTCTTTCGAGTAGCTGGGACCACAGACCCCGCCACCACGCCCCGCTAATTTTTTTTGGATTTTTAGTAGGGAGGGGGTTTCACCGTGTTAAACAGGATGGTCTCGATCTCCTGACCTCATGATCCGCCCGCCTCGGCCTCCCAAAGTGCTGGGATTACAGGTGTGAGCCACCGCACCCGGGTGATTTTTAATTTTTTTGAGACAGGGTCTCACGCTGTCGCCCAGGCTTGAGTGCAGTGGCACGATCTTGGCTCGCTGCAACTTCTCCCTCCTGGGTTCAAGCGATTCTCATACCTCACCCTCCCTAGTAGCTGGTACTAGGGATGCCCGCCACGACGCCCAGCTAATATTTGTATTTTTAGTAGAGAGGGGGTTTCTGCTGTGTTCATCCGACATCAGGTGATCCTCCAGCCTCAGCCTCCTGAAGTGTTGGGATTACAAGCATGAGTCACAACAGTCGGTCCGCCCTTAACTTTTTAAAAGAGTGGGTGTTATCTTTTTCTTAATAATTTGTAGAGCTCTTTATATTTTATTATGCAAATAAAACATACGCTAAAGATAGTAACCGAATATATATAAATATCAACTTGCTTGTAATTACAATTGTTTCTCTGTTTCACTACTAGTTCTTCGACTTTATAGTGTCTTCTGTCACATGAAAGGCCCACATTGTGTTTCCAAGTTATCAGTTTTATCTTTTTTTTGTTTCCTTTACTTTTTCTTGGTTTGATATCATGCTTACAAATAAAAGCACGAGCAGGTCCTCTCCCAATACATAAGTCGCTTATACGGAAACAACGTGGTGTAGAGAAAACAAAGTGGATCAAGCCCCTAATAGACTTGTTTAAATGTGGTATACAGCCAAGTCGTGGTGCCCAACTTCCATATTCCGTACTGTTAAACACGTCAATCTCAACCTGTTTCCTTATCTGCAAAATGAGCAAAATAGTACCCACCCCAGAGGGTGATACCAGCATTAAAATGCCTGGCAAGGGCAAGGCATCCAGCAAGTGTTAATTCCCTTTCCTTTGCCCCGCAGAGGGGCATTATTAATTGCTCAAAGTGGCCAATTCCCGATAAAGATTAAAACAAAAGGTTGGCGACGGTAAATTTTGGTGAGTTTACACTCCACCCGTTTTTCAGGTATCTTTTAGAAACATTCCATTCAACTAAAAACCCAATAATGCATATACAAGTACCATAAAATTTCTACGTTATGAAGTCCTTGAGGCTTAGGGGTGGGCGAAAAGCCAAATATTTTTATTTTCCAGACATTCCCTTTTTGAGACAACCTCCCCCCACCCTCCCTCTAAACAAATGTGACTTTTTCCCCTGGAATGCCAATCTCCCAGGTGTTAAAGTGAGGCCACGATTATAAGGCGAAAAGGTGTCACAATTAGATAAACGACTGTGAACACCATTAATACTGATTTTTTAAAATCTCGAATGGGCTCTGTGGTTCTGATACTCTGACTGTTGGAATAATTCACCTACTGCAAATTTAGTAGAAAGAAAAATAATTAGCACAATTATATCTAGTAGCCATTTCTACCCTCTGAGAGTCTGGTCTTGGCTCCCAGCACGTCGGCTTTCCTCCGCCGTAGGGCTCCCGTGTGCTCCTCTCACGCCCAACACAGTCCGCGTTCGCACGCCACGGTGGAGCATCCCCTCAGCCCGCCCTATCGCTCCGGCGCCGGCTCGGCAGACGTTCCGCCTGCGCAGGGCTGGGTATAGGCGCCGTGTGAGCGCCGCTTCACCCAGGCCCGAGCGCGAAGCCCGAGCGGGGTACCCGGCGAAAGGCGCGCGCCGCGGCGTCTTCCGCAGCTTGAAGCTCTGAGAAGCTGCGGCGCGGCTTCGGGAACTTAGATCTGGGGAAGACGCCGCGCCGCGCGCCACTCGAGCCTGCGCGGCCGCCTCCCGGCGCAGCACTCCTCTCTCGCCCTCCCCGCGGCCCCAACAGCCCGGACTCCGAAGCAGCCCAGGGCGGGGGGGAGTGCGGGAGGAGGGGCGCCTCACAGAGCGGCGGGGAATTCCCCCTTCCACCGAACGTTCCCGATTGTTCACCGTCCTCACGTCAGCAGCAGGGGGTAATCCCCGACTCCAGCTGCTCCCGACGTCACCGTGTGGAGCCACCGCCCCCCGCGCGCCCCTGCTCCGGGGCCTCCTCAAAGCCCCGCCCCCAGGATTAGCCACGCCTTCTTCCCCCTCCCCCCAGGCGCCCGACGTAGAGGGCGGAGCTTTTTTGACCGCGGCGTGAGCGGTTGCTTGGGCCAGAAGGTTCTCTGGTGGAGGCGCTCTTCCTGCTGTCCCGCCCAGTAGGTTCGTTCGCACCGTTTCTTCCACACCCTTTCTCCCTCCTTCTCCTCGCCCCGCCTTCCCCTCTTCTCAACCCCTCTAGTTCCTTCCCCGCCTCGCCACTGTCCACGATCTCGCGAGACTTGGCCCAGAACATTGCGGATCGGGTCGGCGCCATTTTGGGACTGAGACTGGTTGTGGGGGAGGGAAAAGCGGCAAAAGGGGATTATTCAAAGTACCGAAAACCTTCTCCCGGGATCAGGCGCGTCGACACCCCCAGGCCAGGGGCACCTCTGGTGGGGCAGAAGGTAACAGTGTCCTCTAGGCTCCACGCTCGAGTCCGGGGGAGAAGGGGAGTGCCCGTGTCCGTGTTGGGGTTTGAGGGGTCGGGAGCGGCGTTGGCGGCGCGAGGTGAGAGGCTGCCCGCGGACGGAGGGGCGGCGGGGAGCAAGGAGTAAGAGGGGAGGGAGGCGCCGATAGGCCCCTGTAGCTATTGACTCGGCCTAGGTGGAGCGGAGGTGGCGGTTTTGAGGAGGGGGTGGGTGGTTTAGCCCCGGCAGCTTGGTTGGGGGGTGTTTGCCGTTTGGCGGAGGCTGGGAGCGGGTCCGACGCCTTCCGTGCTCGGCCTTCCCCCGGCCTCTCGCACACGCCCGCCTGCTTTTGCACCACTATCCCTCTCAGGGCTGAGGGAGTCGAGGCCGATTTGTGGCCTTCGGCGGTTTCTTCAGCAGCGTCTCAGCTTTCCCCGCCTCTCCCAGGTCCGTGGCACTTGCCGTGGACTGGGGCGAAGGCTACTTTGTTCCTCCGAGTCTTGTGGGGTCTGAGGGGACATGTGCTTTTTTGGGAGAGAACCATTCTTCCTGTGGTTTACGAAAAGGGCCCTGTCCCTTCCACCCCCTCAGTTTTGGGAGAAAGCTGTTTTCTTAATTCGAGGAAGTGGAAACCTACACCTTCTAGCCCTCTGCTCCCTCAGAAGTGGGGAAGTCTCCTCGGGAGAATTTAAGGAGCGGGTTTGCCCTACTTCTAGTTCACCTTTCTGGCCTTACTGGGGCAATATGCTTCCTCTGGTAGACGTTCTAATTTGGAGGGAGCCTCCTTTTCTTTACATTTATTATTCTGTGAGTTACATTTGCTAATGCTCCGTGGCAACACACCTGTCTTCGCTTTCCTTGGTACATCGAAGAGGGTTGGAGAAGATCTTTTGTAAGATTAAGTGACGGTTTCATAGTTTCAAATGTATTCAAGAAGTATAAGAAGGTTTGCTTATATAATTCCCCAATATTGGATCTGCACCCCTTCCCAGGTGAAATTTGCCCTTGCCCTCCATGATACCGTCACCTACCGTTTTTATCTCCCTCTACTCCGATGTGTTTTTCATTCAGTAGACTTTTATCGGGTGCTTGCTTGGGTAAAGCCCTTTTCCAGGCTCCTGTAAGGTTATACAGAAGTGATTTTCTCTCCAGAGGTTGACTTTTTAAGTTGGGGATTGATTTTTTTTTAGTTCAAAATCAAAACTCAGTATATAATTTTTTTTTATAACTTTTACAGGTGAATGAATTACTCAGATATGAAGATCATCTTCTAGGTTTTGTGTAGAAGGCCCCGGATATTTTAAGTGGCCATTTTGGATTTACAATGTTTTTGGATAATTTTGCCCCAGAAGTTTATTAAAATTGGCAAGAATCGTCTATGAAGTGAATTGATAGTAGTGAACAATTCAGCAAGCTACTTAAAAAGAGACCCAGGCAGCATTTCTTCAGTATTTTGGTTCAAACGGATTATATAACTGGTTACAGTATTTCAGCTGGTGGTAATTTTTGCCTTCCCCCTCCCCCACCCCGTTGTTGGGGTTCTTCAGCCGAAACTGAGTGACGTTGATTTGTGTACTGAGTAGTTTCAGCAGTTTCAAATGACTGAGTAGTGCTGAAGGTTCATGGCAGTTTATTTTTACCTTTATTGAAAGTTTTAGGAATTTTTGACTTCAGCTCTTTCATGTTACAATGGGACACTTTTTCTAAATGAAGACATTGAAAGAATACCGAATTTTTTTCCTTTTATCTTTTATTTACGTAGAAATTTAAGATGTTGCAGTTTCCCGGCAGCATGGTAGTGTTGAGATAGCTATGTGTGTCTCTGTATATGCTGATATTTAGGAATGCTCTTCAGATGTGAAATTTTCTTTTTGCTTTTGCTTTTTGGCTCGTAAATTGGATATTTCATCTGGAGTGGACAAGTACAACAGTGGCAAGTACATGGAATAATAAAGAAGACTTTGATCTTAAATCTAAAGAACTTGGCTAATTCGGGAGATAGCCATATGAAAACTTTAAAACAGAAGTATGGGTAGCTGACTTGAAGTAACTCTATGTCAAATAGTCATAGGTTAAGTATCTTCAAAGAACTTCGATATTATTTCAGAGGATACAAAATAAAAATACAAACTGGAAAACAAAGATTACAAAGAAAAAACCAACACCTTCCTGTGCAGTCCTGTTGGAATTTGTAAGTACTTTTATGGTGAGCAAATCAAATGTTCATTTGTAAACTGTAATGGGAGTCGAGTTTATCCTATGTTATTCTTGGAAGCCTTTCAGTTTCTTGCAGTAATAGTGCTTGGTTTCAGTTTCCTTGACAGTCTGAAAACAGCTATTAACCATTGTCTGAGTAAACTGAAATTCAGAAAAAACCTTTAAAGCTTAGGAATTTTTCAGATTCAAACAGTCCTAAGCTACAGGTTTTTGTGTTTTTTTAAGTATAAAGCTAAATTCGTCTGGCTAGTATGTATTGCCTTAGGCTTTGAGGATTCATTCATAGGGGTAGAAAGGTAGGAAAAAATGCAACAAATAATTCACCACGTGCCTTCTTAGCCAGTTTGCATTCTAAATGCATGTGCCTTGATAGCCAGTTTACTTTTCAAATGTGAGTTTAGACTGCATTCGAACTGCAGTTTAGTGTTGCATTTGGGGTTACATAGTTTGGTTATATTACAGGTAGCAGTTTTTAATGTATTTCATGAACTAGCTTGTTTTAAGGCATAACTGTTCCTAACATATTAATCCGTTATAGAAATTAAGTTTTTGAAATAGTTTTGTTGAAATGGTTTTGTATTTCAGATTATTTCTTAATTAACACTTTACTTTCAAAAAAGGAGGGTATTACCAGGACCAGCAGCTCAAAAGGAACTGAGCAAGCTGAATTAAGAACCTTTAAGTAACTTAAGAGAATATGAGTATACATTTTTTTTCACTCGATGTTATGCTGGCCTAAGTTTATAAACAAAGCTTTTTTTAAAAAAAATGTTGTGAATATTAATTGCTATAATAGAAATTGTTTTGACAGGTGGGAGAGTTGTCTTTTAATGTTTGTATTTTTCAGGATTAAATGGTGTTTCTAGTTACCATTAGTTACTACGTTTAATTTTTCAGTGAATCACAGGCATTTAGTGTTTTTTAAAGAGATACACTAAAATTTAATTTTTTTCCTCTTTGACTACTGACAAAATTTAATTTTTAGGCAATTAATATTAGTGAACACGTGAGTATAACTCAAATTAGAGGGTTATTTCCATGGTCTTTCTGAGACGAAAGACTGTAATTTTTTTTTTTTTTTTTTTTTGAGACCGAGTTTTGCTCTTGTTGCCAAGGATGGAGTGCAATGGCATGGTCTTGGCTCACCACAGCCTCTGCCTCCCAGGTTCAAGCGATTCTCCTGCCTCAGCCTCCCAAGTAGCTGGGATTATTCTGACACTACTGCTTAGGGATAACAATATCAGTAACGGCAATTTAGAAGCCCGCCACCAGGCTCGACTAATTTTTTGTTTTTGTTTTTGTTTTAATAGAGACGGGTTTTCACCATGTTGGTCAGGCTGGCCTCGAACCCCTGACCTTCGGTGATCCTTGTGCCTTGGCCTCCCAAAGTGCTGGGATTACGTACGGGCCTGAGCCCACCACGTGCCAGGCCGAAATTGTAATTTTTGAACCCTTTACCAGAATGGCCTAACCTAATAACTTGTCAGTTGCTTATTTTGAACGAATTTTTTTTTTTTGCTTAAACTGTTGAATCCTGCTAGTCCCCATGGAGCAAAAGTGGTAGTAAAAAATACACAGTTTTTTTTTCCTCTGAAATTGATATTAGAGAGTTCAGTAATTCCTTTTGTCATAGTGGATTAGGTTATATGTGTTTTAGGTCAGACCTGTGTGGTAGTTCTGATTGTCTACCTTGATTTGTAAAATTGGTGAGAACATTCCACACCTTTTCACTTGGGAGAGCCTGTATTTTGTTCATTCCTCAATTCAGTGACTTCTCAAGTTACTTAAGAATATACATCTTAAATATGATTAAGAAGTTGAACTGGAGTCAGACGATCATTATTCCTAGAAAACTGTATAATATTTATTCGTGATTTTTTTTTCTTTTTTTTTTTTTTTTTTTTTTGAGACAGGCTTGCTCTGTTGTGTGCCCAGGCTGGAGTGCAGTGGCGCAATCTCAGCTCACTGCAACCTCCGCTCCTGGGTTCAAGCGATTCTACCTCAGCCTCCCAAGTAGCTTGGATTACAGGCGCCCACCACCACGCCCGGCTAATTTTTTGTATTTTTAGTAGGGACAGGGTTTCACCATGTTGGTCAGGCTGGCCTTGAACTCCTGCTGGAATTACAGGCATGAACCACTGCGTCTAGCCTTGTTTTCTTCTAAATTACCGTTACTGGTATTGTTACCCCTAAGCAGTAGTGTCAGAATAAAGATTACTTCAGAGATCAGAGTTTTTAACAATTAACTTTAATCTGTGAATAGTCTAACATTTGTGAACTTAGCTTACAGCAGTTCTTCAAGGACAGATTTACTTGAACATTTTGACAGATATTTTCAGCATTTTATTTTCTGGAGATTGAAATAAGTAATTCCACCCGTTGGTAATTGGAACTATTGCTGGACTGATGATTTTCCCCAGAAGTTACACCACTTTTCCTTTTCTTTCTTACTCTTTATATTTTCCTTTTTTCTCTCTTTGTAAACTGTAGTTCTAAAAATAATAATCATAGTGGCTAACATTTATAGATGATGATGGTGTCATATGTTTTGCTGTGTAATTTATGTGGCATATTTTAGTTAATTCTTAATCCCGTAAGGAAAGTACTATTATAGTCACTGTGGTACTGATGAGAAAATTAGGATTTAGGGAGGCTGAGACTGGGAGAAAGTTACTTTGTTAGAATTGTAATCTTGACCAAATAACTGTTCAAGCAGTCTGACTCCAGAGCACATACTCAGCACTATGCCATACTTACACTGCTTTCTTGGGGATTTTACTTTACTAATTCATTTATTTGAACATTATCTTTGATATTTTTGTTTTTCTTTTCATGTACTGCTTCTCTCTGGTTGATGTCGATTACAGACTACTAATGGAGTTTGGTAATAAACTAAGAGATACTACTGTTTTGCTATTTGCTAGTAACTATTTGGGTGATATCTTTGGTTAGCTAAAATTAAATTGTGTGTGTGTGTTTGAGACAGGGTCTTGCTCTCTCACCCGGATTGGAGTGTAATGGCGGGATTGTAGCTCAGGCAACCTCGAACTCCTGGGGTCAAGGGTTCCTCCTGTCTTGGCCTCCCAAAGTGCTGGGATTATAGGCGTGAGCCACAAGTGCCTGGCCTTGTTGTATTTTTTCTTTCACCCGTAACCTCTTTCCACAGGCATGGAGCTAAATGCATAGCTTTGTTTTACCTAGTCTCCTTTTTTTTTTGTTTTTTGGGTATTTTTGAGACAGAGTTTTGTACTTATTGCCCAGGCTTGAGTGCAATGGCATGAACTCGGCTCACTGCAACCTCTGCCTCCCCAGTTTAAACGATTCTCCTGCCTCAGCCTCCTGAGTAGCTGGGATAACAGGCATGTGCCACCAGGCCTGGCTGATACTGTATTTTTAGAAGACAGGATTTCACCATGTTGGTCAGACTGTTCTCGAACTCCTGACCTCAGATGTCTGCTCGCCTCCCCCTCCCAAAGTGCTAGGATTATGGGTGTGAGCCACAGGGCCCAGCCCCTTGTCTTTGTTTTTGAATTAAAATAGTTACATGGATTTTTATGGTAGAAACTGCTGATACATTAAAATTGAGGAAGGGAGAAGAGTAATGGAGAAAGAACAGAAAGAGTGAACAGAAAAAAAAATGGGGAGAGTTTCAAGAAAGGGATAATTTAGGAGGACTTCTAATCTGAAAGTAAAATAAGCAAGTGAGGATAGATCTTAAAACCAGACCAGATTATTTAACTTCTTTTTTTTTTGAGATAGAGTCTTGCTGTCACCCAGGCTGGAATGCACTGGCACAATCTCCGCTCGCTGTGACATCCGCATCCCGGGTTCAAGTGATTCTTATGCCTCAGCCTCCCGAGTAGCTGGGATTACAGGTCCCCACCGCAATGTCCAGCTAATTTTTTGTATTTTTAGTAGAGATGGGGTTTCGTCATGTTGGCCAGTCTGGTCTCGAACTCCTGACCTCAGGTGATCACCTGCCTCAGCCTCGGGAAGTGGTGGGATTATAGGCGTGAGCCACTGCACCTGGTCAGATTATTTAACTTTGTTTAACCAAACCATCTTTTTTGTTTCTTTTTTGATAAAAATGTTTAGGTAACAATATTCAGATCTATCAATGTTTAGGTAACAGTTTAGATCCAGGTAAGGTGGTGATGTAGAAAAAGGGTCAAGGCTGAGACTTTGGAAGGGAACTTGGTTTAGGTTATGGAATATCTAGAAAAATGCCTGTGTGACTGTATGTTCACCTAACTTTTTTTGGCCATAGTTTCTTCATTAAACTGATGGAAATGTGTATGGAGGGTTTTTGTAAATTGTGAAGTGCAATACAGATGTAAAGATTTTTTTTTTTTTTTGTTTTTGTTTTGAGACAGTCTCGCTCTGTCGCTCATGCTGGAATGCAATGGCGCAGTCTCAGCTCACTGCAATCTCCGCTTCCTGGGTCCAAGCGATTCTCCTGCCTCAGCCTCTCAAGTAGCTGGGATTAAGGTGCCCATCACCATGCCCAGCTAATTTTTGTGTTTTTTTTTGGAGATGGGGTTTCCCTATGTTGGTTAGGCTGGTCTGCAAGGCTCCTGACCTCAGGTGATCCACCTACCTCGACAGAAATTTAAATATGGCTTTAAAGTATAATTTGAAAACTGAATTAAGAATTAAAGGGGGCAGGGCGCAGTGTCTCATGCCTGTAATCCCAACAGTTTGGGAGGCCAAGGCAGGAGGAACATTTGAGACTAGGAGTTCGAGACTAGCCTGGGAAACGTAACAAGACTCTACAAAACATAAAAAAAATTAGCCAGGCATGGTGACATGCGCCTGTAGTCCCAGCTACTTGGGAGGCTGAGGCGGGAGGACTGCTTGAGCCTAGGAGGTTGAGACGCTGGAGAGCCGTGATTACACCACTGCACTCCAACCTGGGTGGCAGAGTGACACCCTGTCTCTTAAATGAATAAGAAGAGGCCAGGCGCCTCAGTGTTT